ATAAACTCAACATGTATTGGTACAAAAATGTGCTTCAATCTTCTTTCTTAAACTCCCAGAAAAACAGATGAAAACAAAGTATTTTTTCTTGGGTAGAAAAATAGAACATGAGAGTAGCAATCTCGATGAGTATTTAAACATATACGGTGAGAAGAGTGCAGATACGGTAGCTTCAGTGTAATTCGGTAAGCACTCTGTTTTACATTGAAATAGTATTTCCTTTGGTAAATTTGGTAAGTGCTTTGCATATACAGTAAGCCCAGTGTATATCCGATAAGTTGAGTGTATATCCGATGAGTTGTATTAAACGGTGATGAGTGTTAAAACCGGTTAGTATATATCAAATCCGGTAAATTCCACTCTTTGATTCATAAATTCAAACATGGTATCAGAGCTGGATTGATCTTAGAAAAGGGACTCTAAAAAGAAGGAAAGGAAAAGAAGAAGCTTACAAAGAAACAATCAGCAAAAATCGACAGGAAGGAAAATGACTTCAACTGGTTTTTCAGCACCACTACTATTTACCTTCAATGGAGAAAACTACAACTTTTGGGCTGCTAAAATGAAAGCTTATCTTAAAGCTTATGACCTATTGGAGACAACTGATTCTGGAGTTGAACAAGAACCTTTGAGGGCTAATCCAACAATGGCTCAAATAAAGCAGCATAGTGAAGATGTAGTAAAGAAGTTCAAAGCTCTCTCTTGCATTCAGTCAGCCGTTTCAGATGTAATATTCATATGAATCATGACTTGTGAGATTGCAAAAGAAGCCTGAGATTTTTTGAAAGAAGAATATCAAGGTAATGAAAAAACGAAACAAATGCAAGTTCTCAACTTAAGAAGAGAGTTTGAGACTTTGAAGATGAAGGAGACTGAAGTTGTCAAAGATTTTTTAGATAGGATGATGAAGATTGTAAATCAAATCAGACTTCTGGGAGATGATTTGTCAAATAAAAGCGTGGTGGAAAATGTTTTAATTATCCTGCCTGAAAAGTTTGAATCCAAGATATCCTCATTAGAGGATTCTAGAGACTTGTCAACTATGACTTTAGTTGAATTGGTGAATGCTTTGCAGGCAACTGAACAAAGAAGGCTAATGAGGCAAGAGGAACAATCAGAAGGTGCCTTGTTTGCTAAAGAAAAGTACAAAGCTCAAAAGATCTTTGGTGTAAAAAACCTCAGGTTCATAGAAGAGAACCTGAAGGCAGCAGGAATGAAAACAAAGAGGATAAATTTGCACCTTGTCCTCATTGTAAAATAAAGGGCCATTCTCCAAAATATTGTTGGTATAGGCCTGGAGTTCAATGTAGAGGCTGCAAATAATTTGGTCATATTGAGATGGTGTGCAAAAATAAAAGAAGGAATCAATCACATCAGCAAGCAAAAATGAAAAAAAAAAAAAAGGAAGAAAGGCTAGAAGAGCATCTGTTCTGTGCTATTAAGGCTTGTAGCAAGGTTGAAACTTGGTTATTGGATAGTGGTTGCACTCATCACATGACTGCAGACTCTAGCATCTTTGTGGAAGTGAACAAAGCCTATAAATCTAGAGTTAAAGTGGGAAATGGTGACTTTGTAGAAGTAAAAGGCAGTGAAGTGATTGTTGTCCAGACTTCAACAAGTATCAAGCACATTCCTGATGTTTTAAATGTGCCTGATATAGATCAAAATCTAATAAGTGTAGGGCAATTGTTAGAGAAAAATCATTCTTTAATTTTCAAAGAAAAGGCCTGCACTATATTAGATGAAAATGGAAATGAGTTGATGACAGTTCAAATGAGAAATATAAGCTTTCCTATAAATTAGAAAAATGTCACTACACAAGCATGTTTAGCTGAAAAAAGTGAAACTATTTTGTGGCATAGACGATTTGGTCATGCTAGCCATACTTCATTAAGGCAAATGTATGACTTTAATCTTGTTGAAAGCATGCCTAAAGTCACTGATAATGCCTGTGTTTGTGATGTCTGTCAACTTGGAAAACAAACGAGATTGCCTTTTCCAAAGAATCAGTCAAGAAGAGCTATTGACAAACTCGAGTTAGTACACTCAAATGTATGTGGTCCATTGAAAGTGACTACATTGAATGGCAGCATATATTTCATCCTCTTCATTGATGTCTTAACAAGAATGTGTTGGGTCTACTTCTTGAAAGCAAAGTTTGAAGTTGCATATGTGTTTCAAACATTCAAGAAAATGGTGGAGAATGAAAGTAGCTGGAAGATAAAGACCATCAGAATTGACAATGGCACTGAGTACAGTTGCAGGCAGTTTGATGATTTCTGTAGAACTGAAGGTGTCAAGCATTAGTTAACTATTCCCTATTCTCCTCAACAGAATGTAGTCAGTGAGAGGAAAAATAAGACAGTTATGGAAATGACTAGGTGCTTGTTGATTGAGAAAAAAGTACCAAAAGAATTTTGGGCTGAGACAATTAATACTGCTATTTACCTTCTCAACCGTTTGCCATTAAGAGCTTTGGAGAAGAAAACCTCATATGAAGCTTCGTATGATGTCAAACCAGATATCTCACACTTGAAAGTGTTTGGGAGTGTTTGTTACACTCGTATTCTTGATGCAAAAAGGGATAAAATTAGTGAAAAAGCTGAAGTTGGAATATTGTTTGGCTATTGCAACAATGCTAAAGGATATATAGTGTTCAATCCTCAAACCAGAAAAGAAACCTCCAGTAGAGAGATCAAGGTGGATGAAGATGCTACTTGGAACTGGGATGCAAGTTTAGTAGTTAAAGAAAAAGCCAATGATATAATTCCTCAGATCAGAGATGAAGAGAGTGATGGGGAAGAATTGGAACCTGGTGTCAATGATATTGATTCAGAAATAGAAGAAGATAGAGTGAGAATGAGACCTCTAGCAGACATTTATGTAAGGTGTAATGCTGCTATAGTTGAACCTGTAAGCTTTGATGAAGCTTCAAAATCTTCTATATGGATGAAAGCAATGGAAGAAGAGATCAATATGATTGTAAAAAATGAAACTTGGGAGCTACTTGAAAGACCACTGGACAAGAAAGTCATTGGAGTAAAATGGGTGTATAGGACTAAATTAAATCCATATGGTTCAGTTAACAAGTTAAAAGCAAAGCAAGTTGTCAAATGATTTGCTCAACAATTTGGAGTAGATTACATAGATACCTTTGCTCCAATTGCAAGGTATGAAACAATCAGATTGCGTATGGCAATTACAGTTCAAAATGGCTGGAAAATCTATCGTTAGATGTCAAATCAGCTTTCCTAAATGGCTATCTAAATGAGGAGATTTTCATAGAGTAACCTGAAGGTTTTCAATTGGAAGATAGTGAGGATAAAGTCTATCTTTTGAAGAAAGCTTTGTATGGATTGAAGTAGGCTCCAAGAGCCTAGTATAGTCGAATAAATGATCACCTTGGTTATCTTAGTTTTACAAAGAGTTTAAATGAACAAACTCTATATCTAAAACAAGTCAAAACAGAAATGGTTATCATATCACTCTATGTTGATGATCTCTTGATCACTGGCAGCAGCAAAAGATTAATTAGAGAAGTGATTGATAAATTGAAGAAAGTTTTTGAAATGACAGATGTAGGTGAGTAGCATTACTTCCTTGGAATGTGGATTTGTCAAGATCAGCAGGAGATTTTTATCGGTCAAAAGAAGTTTGCAAAGGATGTACTAAGGCGATTCAACATGGAAAATTGCAAACCTGTTAGCACTCCATTAGTTCAAAATGAAAAGTTGTTAAAAGAAGATGGTGCAAAGCAAGTTGATGCAAAGATTTACAGAAGTTTGACTGGTTGTTTATTGTATTTAACAGCCACCCGACCTGATATCACTTATGTTGTAAATCTAATACCAAGGTTCAGACAAGAGCCTAGTGAATTGGGAATTTGGTTCAAGAAGTCAGAATTGTGCAAACTAACTAGCTACACTGATAGTGATTGGGCAAGAACTTTTGAAGACATGATGAGTTCTTTTGGCTATATATTTTATGTTGGTTCAAGTATCATATGCTAGAATTCAATGAAGCAGAAAACTGTGGCACAATCAACAACTGAAGCTGAATACATAGCTGCTTCAGAAGCTAAAAATCATGCAATTTGGCTGAGAAAAGTGTTAGAAGATCTGAAGTTTAAGTAAGAAGAGGCCACCGTTATCTATTGTGATAATCAATCTACAGTCGCAATGGTAAAAAATCCTGTCTTCCATGGTAGAACCAAACATATCAAAATCAAATACCATTCAATCAGAGAAGCTCAAGAACAAAAGGAGATAAAACTGGTGCATTGCAAAATTGATGATCAATTAGCTGACATTTTGACAAAATCTTTAGGCAAGGCGAAATTTGAAACATTGAGATATAATCTTGGTGTTTTAAAAATGTCAAGGAAGAATGTTGAATATAGTGGACATTCTTACTTTCAGATCTTTATTTTAGTAGGTTAGATATTTTGTATCTTAAGTTTTAAGTTTAAGTATTCAATTTGATAACTTCATCTTTGTAAAAGTTATCTTAGTTAGATTTTTTCATAAACGGTTTGTTAGATTAAGAGGTGGAAAATGCGTCTTTATAATCTATATAAACTCAATATGTATTGGTATAAAAATATGCTTCAATCTTCTTTCTTAAACTCTCAGCAAAACAGAGGAAAACAGAGTATTTTTACTTGGGTAGAAAAACAGAACATGACAGTAGCAATCCCAATGAGCATTTAAGCATATACGGTGAGAAGAGTGCAAATATGATAGCTTCAGTGTAAATCTGGTAAGCACTCTATTTTACATTAAAATAGAATTTCCTTTGGTAAATCCGGTAAGTGCTTTGCATATACGGTAAGCCAAGTGTATATCGGGTAAGTTGTATTAAACGGTGAGGAGTGTTAAAACCGGTTAGTTTATATCAAATCCGGTAAGTTCCACTCTTTGATTCATAAATTCCAACACTCTCTTGTCTTCCATTATAGTTCTAAGACCATAAAATTCAAGAATAGAATTTGCATAGACTTCATGAATCTTCAGCCAAGTCCTGGAGACATTAAAACAGAATCCTATAAATTGTTGGTTTTTATTTACTTTTGTTACCTCCTAGACAAAGCAGGTTGATTTGATCTATGGATAAATTCAATAGGCGGACACACAAATTTTAAGGGGCTCATATATCTGTTAGAATTATAAAAACTGCGCCTTAAGGAGAATATTTAATTTTAAGATGACATTTTTCTCTTTACGTTTTGGTTTAACTTTATTGTTTTTTATTTGTTTTTGTTACTGGTCATATGTTCTATCTCTCAGCAATTATATCTTTTATTATTCTTTGGATAGTACGTGCAGTAATTGCATTAGTAGTGATCAGTATTGCCATTTTTATGAATTCTGGTCAGATACGGGAGCTTCACTTGACAGCTAACGTTTGATGCCTGCTGCATTTCATTGGGTCCAGATGAGATATGTTGTCCAGAATGGATACACGTTAACCCTTATTTTATCTAATTCACTTCATTTTTGTGATTTTTAATTTGCAATATACATGAATAAATGGAACTCCTGTTTGTTTACAATATCAATTAGAGGTAAACAGCTATCAAAGTTGAAAGCTTTCATTTGTCATGTCAAGTATATAAATAGTTGACAATGACTTGCACACGTAGAAATTAGTGTCTACATTAACATTGAAAAGATAGACAAACTTTGTAATTTATGCATATGCATGTAAAAAATTTAGCCTTGTTTTTGTGAAAGTTATAAATCATTTATGAATGATCAACTTCATTTTTAACAACACTCTAATGGACCCAAAAGTACAATCAACTTATCTACCACTCATTTCTACCTTTAAATAAATTAAACCAGTTATATTTTTTTCCCACAGATGCTTACATGGCTTGGCAGTGCTTGCTGGCACCAGCCAATATTTTTTCTAGATATACATATAGTTTTTAATTTATGTATATCCATGTCATCATTTTACTTCTTGTGCTCCTGGATCTGTACTATGGAAGATTAGCTTGCATTATATGAAGATAATATAGAAGAACAAAGGATGATACATCTTCTTCTCAAACCTATTTATTGTTCTCATAGCATTTTGTTTGTAGCAGACATATTTAAGTTAACTTGTCAAGAATTTTTACAGAAGATTCTATATATTTTCTCTTTCAGAAAGCATCAAGAATGTTGATAAATATACAGCTAACCATACATTCATTTATCTACGCATCTACAAGTCTAACTCTATCTTAACTCATCATATCTTTCGATTATGACTGAATGTGGTTGAAACATTTAGTTGGATTGTAGCCACTATTTTTGAATGGATTGGAGGAAATTGATTCTAAGTATTCAATTTTCCTTTCAATGCCTTCCACAGTTATATAAGGTGCCATTAAGGAAAAAAAAGTTTTTGTCATGAACTTTTTCATATAATACACTTCTATACATGAATTTAACGTTAAAAGTATAAATATCTTGCACATAAAGGTGTGTTCTGAAAATAGAAGCTTAGTTGGGAAAGTTATGTGAATTATGAGGGGGTGGGCATTTAGCTTGATAAACCAGCCAAATTGAACCGACCTCTTTGGGTTGATTTTTTCAGGGGGCAGTTCATATTAAATAAAGAATTATTGGGTCAGGTCGGGTCGGATTTCAGGTTGCACAAGAGGACAAAAATCTAAAACCCTCGCTCTCATCTTTTACACTCATCGCTCTCATCGCTCTCTCCCTCAGAATCACAACCCAAACCCACACCTAAAGGCGACTGGCGGCAAGTAGTAACCTTTGGAATCACAGCGGTAATCGCACCCTTTTCTGTTTTCATAGGTTAAGTCTCATATCTATAGCTACTAATTGAAGAATTTGTTAGAAGATTTCTCGGAGTTTTCCAATGTGATATACATTTATTTGGTTTTTCTTGGTGTATTTTCTTTGAACGAGGGGCTTCTTGGATTTTTTTGATTGAGGGGTTCTCTTGGTATTTTTTGGGAACGAGGGCCTTCTTCATTTTTTCTTAGTGTTCTTTTCGAACGAGGCGTTATTGTACTTTTGTTGGGGTGTTTTGGGGTTTTTTGGAATTTATAGAATGAGAAACATTTATTATCTCAACATTATCAATAACATCTAGCTATACATTTCAATGTAGTTTTTCTTGATTACTTGGTGTACTTTTAGGTAATATATATTTAGATCTATGTGTACATTTATTGGGGCTCATATGGCATGTTTTGGATTTCTTGGCATCCTAAATTTATTAAGTTTGCTTCATATTCCACTCTGAAGGAAACAGAAGAGAGCATTAAGCCATACTTTACCACACTGGCACCTTTTGCAGACGAAGTTGAGAGCGATGTAACTGTTGCAATTGTTCATGTGAATTGAACTTTATAATTTGTTTCATTGATCAAATATATACTAAAAGATTAACTGTGGCTTTTGAATTTTTTGTGAAGTTTTTTTAGTCAAATACTGAAATTCGTGGGAGAGAGAGGAGATCATTGGGTTTTTTTATGAAAGTTTCCATCAGCAAAAACTTGTGTCTTAGGAATTTCGGGTCTAAAACTAAAAGTAGTGATGTGCACATGTTAGTTATCTCCTCAAATAGTAGTTGTCATACTAAGCTTGTAAGGTTTATCTTTCTCCTATTTCTTTCCTTTTTTTTTTTTTTTCCTGGGATACAGGTAAATATACAAGGGTTCGAAATGGCAGCTGAAAAATTAGAGGTGTGCCCCAAAGAGGATCTTGTAGAGGAATTGATGGAGTATTTAGTTTGTCCGAGTGTGCATATCAAAGATAATGATCAGCAAGTTGTTGCCATACAGGTCTGATTTAATTTCGTGTTTTTGTTTCCATATTATATGTTTGTATTAATTGCTCTAATATTGAACTAATACCCTATACCAAAAGCTTACGCAATTTTTAATTATGCCCCGCTTTTAACTCTCTAATAGTTTAATGTTTTAGATGAGGTGATTTAACAAGTTTGTGGTACTTGGATAAGCTATTTATGTGATATATTCCATAATTTCATGCTACAGCTCTAATTGCATTTTTTTTTTAAATTTGTTTTTCAAATCTTTCCCTTTCCTCTTAGATGTACGCGGTTGTGTTGCTTTACAACTATTACCACCGGAAACTACATCCAAAAATAGAACTTTTGGATTTTGTTGCATTTTGTGAGTTGTCTGTGTTTTTGAGACCGTCAATGAAAGCTTTCATGAAATCCACTATTCAAGCTGAATCTACGGAGATGAACAACACTGAGGATGAGCTTTCAATCACAGAGAAAGAAATCAAGAGTGCATGCAATATCTCAATGGCTCTAGATGCGTCAAAAGATGTTCCAAACATAGAAGGGTGGCCTGTTTCAAAGGTTTCGGTGTTATTAGTCGATGCAAAGAAAGAAAATTGTTTACTCAAATTTGGTAATGTCACTAAGGGAGTTTGGTCACTTATTGAAATAGACCTTGATGAATCTAAAATCAATTCCAAAATTTCTGCGAAGGAAAAGATTGGTAAAAAGAGGAAAAGAAAAACTAGAAGATCAGCTGACCCAAAAAATGCTGTTGAAGATGGGTTTCAGCGGCTTGCATTTGATACAGTTAAGGAAGAGACAGGTAAATAATTCATTGTTATCTAATACTGATAATAAAGAATCTCATGGAAACACATCATTGTCATTTGGTGTCTCATTCCTACATTTGTCTTGTCATTTGGTGTCTCATTCCTACATTTGTCTCATGAACTTGCTTTAAATGAAAAACTATTGGAAGGATTGACGATATAATGGCTTGTAAGAATACATTTTTCTTATTATTCTAAAATGATTCAGATGTTGTAATTATTTTGAAATAAACTCAAAATATTCTTAGTACACAAATTTTACTTAATATACATATGGCACCTCCTGTATCATTGGCCTATGCACTGTACAAGCTTCAAATTGTTGAATGTTTCTTCCATTTTTCAAAGAGATGAATAATTTTTTAATGTTATATTCCACATGGAACAGGTATTAACCGCTCAGATCTAGTGATTTTGGAAACACATATCGTGTATTCATTAAATAAAGAAAATACAGCAACTCAAGTTTATATTATGCAATGGATCCAATGGAAGCAATCGATCTGCGAATACAAAGAATTTCTTGTTGAATATGTTTTGAAGAGGTTAGTTCAACTCACTGCTATTTTCTTGCTAACAATGTGACTGCCCATAATCATTAGTAGTCGCTAGTGAAAGAGAGGTTTTTCATGTTATTAAAGATTCTCTAACCTTAAACTGTTGGGATTTCAGTGATCTAAAGCTCTTTTTCAGAGAGCTCTTATCATTTTGTATGGAGGAGATTGGATACTGGTTATTTAAATGAACATATAAACATATATACTTTGCTGTTATTTCTGAACGGGCGAGAGGAGAAGGAGAATTCTTTGGGGACAACATCTTCCTTAAACGTTTTTCTTCTATGTTTCCTTCATATATTGTTTGTACAACTTGGCTCTTTTTATAGCCAACCTTTGATAGATATTTCTACCACCTTTGATAGATATTTACTAGATATTTCTATCACTTGACAATCCACTTGCTTGTAGTAGCTCACAACTAGCCTAATCTTACTATCATAACATAGTTAGATTTTAACCAACTAAGTAACTAAATATTCAACCAAGAAAGCTCACAACTAGCCTAATCTTTCTATCATTACATAGTTAGACTTTAACCAAACTAAATAACTAAATATTCAACCAAGAATACAATTAAAAAATGTGACAACAAAATGTCATAATTCCAACATAAACAGATGTCCATTGTGTATATTTCATTAACTTTACGATTTTTTGCTACAAATATATATAAAGGGAGAATATAAATCCTATTCTAGGCTATACATATTTGGTTCCTACAATCAAGCTAACGTGTGAATGAAAGAATTTTTTTTTCCATCCCACTTCCTATAATTCCGCCAATCTTTCCTTATATTACAACTCATGCCAACACTCCCCCTCAAGTTGATTTACACAGATCCTTTATGCGCAACTTGACCAGTGAGTTGTAGAAATCTTTGTTGGACATGGCTTTGGTAAGTATATCTGCTAGCTGGTCTTCAAGACTTGAGAAATGGGAACCATATTGTCTTAGTCTCTAGGTTATGTTTGATGAAGTGGCGATCTACCTCCACATGCTTAGTTCGGTCATGCTGAACCGGACTTTATGAAATATCTATGAAGTTTATTGTCATAAAAAAAGGTTCATTTCGGATATGGGGACAAAACCAATCTTGGCTAGCAATCTTTTCAGCCAAAGAACCTGACACAAACACTTGGAGAAGACTAGAGAGTGCCACCACCTTTTGTTTCTTACCTTTCCATGTAACAAGATTTTCACCAACAAAAGTGAAATACCCTGAAGTCGACTTCCCATTTGAGATGTTCCTAGCCAATCTGCGTCTGTATATCGATCAACTCCCAAATGATCGTTCTTAGAAAATATGAGCCCTTCCCTGGATAAGACTTCAAGTACTTTAGTATCCGAGTTACAACCTCCATGTGTTCCTCACTTGGACAATGCATAAATTGACTCACTAGACTTATGACATACGCAATATCTAGACAAGTATGAGAGAGATAAATGAGTTTGCCAACTAACAGTTGATATCTTTCTTCATCAGTTGGTTTCTGGTTCGAATATACCCCAAGCTTGTGAATCTGTACAATAGGGGTATCCACTGGTTTGCACTCCAACAATCCAACTTCAAATAATAAATCTACGACATATTTTCTTTGGCATAGAAAGATGCCTTGGGTTCATTTGTTAACCTCCATACCCAGAAAAAACTTGAGCCCACCTAAATTTTTCATTTCGAAGTCACTAGCCAATTGCCGTTGGAGTTGTAATAATTCTTCAATATCATCTCCTATGATGATTATATATCCATGTAGATAATAAAAACTGTTATCTTGCCTTGCTAGTTTTTGAGAAATAAAGTATGATCTCTGTTGCTTTTTGGAAACCATACTTCTTCATTGCCAAGCTAAATCATCCAAATCATGCTCACGATGATTGCTTTAATCCATACAAGGCTCGCTGCAACTTGAATGCTTCATTAGTTCTCATGATCACTAAGTAACCTGATGGAATGTCTGTATAAACATCTTCTTCAAGATGAAGGCATTTTTCACATCAAACTAATATAGTGACCGATGTAAGTTCACTGGAAGAGATAACAACACTCTAACAGTATTTAGTTTAGCTATTGGTGAGAAAGTTTCATGATAATCTACACCATATGTTTGAGTATACCCTTTTGCCGCGAGTCTTACCTTGTGTCTTTCTATAGATCCGTTGGTTTTGTGTTTAATGGAAAACATCCACTTGCTCCCCGCTATTTTCTTTTCTTCAGGTAATGGCACTATGTTACACGTCTTGTTCTTCATTAATGCTTCCATTTCGTCTTTGATTGCTTGAGTCCACTTCGGGTCTTCCAAGGCTTCCTCCACCTTTCTTAGAACACGAAATGTTATGTACAAAGGGCTTGAGAGGTTCGGTCAGCCCTTTTATGGACACATAACTGGCAATGGCGTAACTTGATCTTCTTTCCTCAATGTCTGGTGAGTAGTGGTTTGGAGGCTTGTCACGATTGTGCTTGTAAGGTAATACATAATCGGAGATTTCAACAAATTTGTGTTAAAGGAGCTTGACTTAGGATCATTCTCAGGAGTTGGGTCTTCGAGTACTGTAAAGGAGAAGAAGTTGCAACTTCGGGATTAGCTTCATGGCATTCAAGAGCTAAAGGAGCTAGAGAGCCATGTTCTGATTGCATTTGTTCTCATGTGCTTCAGATAAGTTGGGGGGAGGGGGTCTGCATGTGTTTCAGATAAGCCCAACCAATCTAATTTCATCCAATTCGTCTCTTCCTGTCCAGTCTCCCCTTGAAGATAAGAATTGAGTGGATAAAAGGTTTCAATTTCCATAAATGTGACATCCATAGTAATATAGGTGCGATTAGAAGCGCGATTGTAGCATCTATAGCATTTTTGATGAAATACATAGCCCATAAATAAGCCACCTACGGGCATAAGGATCGAGCTTTAGACCATTTCCAATGGTCTACACTAAATTTAGTATAATTTGGTGTAACCTCTCTATTGGATATGGTTTTACACTAAATTTTACAACAAATTTTACTTTGAATTATTTTATACCAAATTTTATTTTACAAATTATATTATTAAAAAAATTATTAAATTATAAATTACATTGAATGTGGTAAAATATTTAAGACCATGTGGATTACTAAATTGTTGTTGTAGCTAAGTGTTGTATTGTACTTTAATTTATGTTTTTAATATATGTATGTTGTTCTAGTGCTAATTTATTAATTATCAAATTTGTAACTTTTGACTTTGTATTGAACAATTTTAATTTATTGTTGAAATAATTATTACTTATTAATTGATTAGAACTTAAAAATAAATGTTAAATATAAATAACCATCGTATTAAAATAATTAGGAATCAATTAAAACTATTAGTACTAAAATATTAAAAAATGATATACATGAAAGAAACAAATTTTATAAAAGTGTGAACGAGGGCAAAATGGGGATAAATCTAAATTATTATATTTGGTGTAACACTATTCATTACACTATCTTTTACACTATATTTGAGGTATCATTGGGGGAGACTTTACACTATATTTGGTGTAAAATCAATACCTTGAGCACATGAACATATGTCGAGATGGCTTGTATTGGTGCTTGGAAACCCAACACCTTAGAGGGCATTCAGTTTAGGAGATGTACAGTAGTGGTAATTGCATCTGCCCAATACCTATTAGGAGCATGGGCACCAATTAAGAGAGCTTGGGCAGTTTCAAGAAAATGTCTATTTTTTGCTCAATAATACCGTTTTGTTGACAGGTTTAGAGGCATGAAGTCTCATGAATAATGCCGTGTTGATGAAAATAATCACGAAATTGATGATTAATATATCTACCATTATTATCCAATTGAAGCACTTGAACCTTAGCAGAAAATTGTGTTTGCACCATAACATGAAATGACTTAAACACACCCAATGCTCATCTTTATGTTTTAGCATATAAAGCCAAGTCATACGCGTACAATCATCAACAAATAGCACAAACCATTCAAACCCAAATACCCTATGACTTTTTGCCAATACGCAAGTTTTACATTGAAAATTAAAATGTTTCAAGTGAGAAAACAAATCCAGGAACAAATGATTCATATAGTGAAGGACACAAGTCCTAAAAGACGGTGCCAAAGCCAGATTTCCTTATCTTTGAGACCGAGAGAATGCTGCATATAATGTGCTCGGTCCACACGAAAGTCTTCCATATAATTGAGCCCTCATCTCTCAGTACCCCACATAATAATATCCTTAGTGAGAATGTCCTCGTGAAGACAAAAAGTAGGGTACATTAGCATAATACAATTAATATTAGATGTTACTTGGCTCACAAGAGAAGTTTATGAGATAATGATGGAACAAGTAGTGTATTATGAAATTCTATAGTAGATGATAATGTCATAGTGCCCACACCAGTGACATGAGAGATTACACCACTAGAATTATCGATATTGGTACATCTCGATAATTAATTTTGTGTGAAATCTGTAACAGCAAACATCATATGGTCAGTGGCACTGGAGTCCAGTAGTTGTGCACCACGATCAGCATCATTAGACGAACTATAACAAACACAACCATAGCTACTTGAGTTCGGAGCCGGTGAAACCTAGTGTAGAGGATAGGTGAGGCTCTGTAGTAGCCACAACTGCTTCACCAGGACCTTTATCTTCATTGCCTATGTCACGACGTTTCTTAGCCTGGAGATCATTTCACCAATCAGGATACTCATTCAATTTAAAGTAGTTTTCATGAGTATGCTTTTGATTGCCACAATAGGTGCATTTTGAGCCCTCTAATGATGTACGAGATTTTTGTATCCCATTGTGCTCGGTAGAAGGTTGGTCAAGAGGACTAGTCTAAGTCCATTTGTGGCAAGAACAGCTCCAAGACTAGCATTTCCACTATCGTTAACAGCTTGATGAATTGCTTCATGAAGGATGTGAGCATGGCTTGCTCCACTGTAGGAAATGGGTGAAGCTGCGCACATCACCCTGAATCTTGTCCAGCGAGTC